GCACAAAATAGTCAGATAGTAGATATTTTACTGTTCTAAATGCAAAACTTTGGATAACGAGATAGTTGATAAATGAGGAGTGGTTGTAATGTAATTTTTCTTTTGCAAACAGGTTTGACCCTAAGCCAGTCAGGTAACCTGCATTTTGCCTATGATTAGGCCTAAATTTTCAGTCTACTTTTACGTGGCTGGTTTGGTTGTGGGATGAGGAGGTAACCCTGGTGGGAGCAGTGGACACAGTAACATCTGCCCTCAATCGCGATCTGCATTGAAATGGCTAATCCTTTGTGTGCTCGTCACCCAGGTGTGATCATGAAGGATGTGGAAGACACTTTGAGTCCCCCAGCAGGTTGAAACGACATGAGAAGGTCCATGAGGGTATGTACAGGTGGTCTTTCATGACCCTCACTTGGAGCATGACACCTGCAACGGAGAGTACTTGCTTAATTCTTTGATTACAGTGCTTTTTTATTCTATTCTTTGGTCATACAAAGAAAATGTACATAGGGGAAAGGAGGTTAAAATTAGGCACAGAGGGGGCACCATTCGGCTTAGTTGGAACTTATGCTCTTGGCCAAAGTGGTTAGTAATAGGGCTCTGAACCAATTCCAGCATGTTCATTCATGGCCAATGCAGTGGGATTGGAACAGACCAAAGTTTGTAAAATGTGGGTGGAAGTAACTGGAATGGGGAGAAGTACAGATCAGAGCCCTGGAATGGGAGACTCAGAAGGGGCTCCAACTCACAGCGACCCTGTGTACAACAGAGCGAAGCACTGCTCCTGTGCCCGCCTCACAGTCCTTGCTATACCTGAGCCCATCGTTGCAGCCACTGTACAGAGTTTCAGGGTTATTCATAAAGTTTTTCCATACTGTATCAGTGTTTCACTGCTATTCATGAGGTGTTCACCGGCCAGTTGTTTTGAGAAGTGGACAGCCCCTTTCTTCTTCCAAGTTTATCTTAGTCTGGAAGCTCCACTGAAACTTGTCCATCATGGGTAACCTTGTTGGTATTTTAAATACCAGTGGCATTGCCTCTAGCCTCATAGCAAGACATGAGCCACCACAGTGCAACAAACTGACAGACAAGT